ATCTTTTTTACATCGTGGCGACCAAAACTGAATGCAGTATTCCAAGAAATTAGGAGGCCACTTTGGATCTCTAAAAACTCTCCACCTTCCCAGGCATCAATTTTGGTGGTCAAAAATGAAAGCTGAAGTGGAAGACTACGTAAAAAGCTGTGCCACTTGCGCAACCATGAAAATATGGTCAGGCAAGTTCCTGGGATTACTGCAACGGGTGGCCAACCCTAGCCGACCATGGGAAGATATCGCAATGGACTTCATCGTAGAACTCCCAGACAGTGGGGGTAATAAATAATTTGGACAGTCATTGACTTATTTTCCAAGCAAGCCCATTTCATCGCCTGCTCAGGACTACCATCCGCAAAGAAACTAGCAAAAATGTTTGTCAAATATATTTACCGCCTGCACAGAGTACCCAGGAGGATTATCTCAGACCACGGAGTTCAGTTCACTGCCAAATTCTGGAGAGAATTCCGTAATATTATTCTACTACACCTTTTCTATTGTGGGAAAAGGTGAGGGGGGATTGTACGGAGTTAGATGCTATGTAGCCAAAATAAAATTACTTTCTAGAAAGCCAAGGTCATCCTTTGTCTCTGCACCTGACCGGAACTGGATAAGGGGAAGCTGCCAGCATGGCAGTAGAAGATTGGACCATGTGATGGACTTGTGGGTGTGAGTGCAAGATCATGAACTTTCAGTTGGGTGGGGAAAACCGGGAAGCTTTCAGATTCAGGTTTTCCCAGATGTTCCAATATAGCTCTCTTAATAAATTGGAACTTTGAGCAATACTTTGCCTTGATCTCTGATTTACTTTTGGATGCTATTTGGAACCCTAACAACGGACATTGACCCTTGTAGTGAGCCTGTAAACTGAAACCAAAAAGAGATTAAATATTTCTACAAGATAAATCATATACTACTTACAAGAAAGTTATAGGTTTTGGAATGGATTTCATAGTTCCTAGACTTGATTATTGAAAATCTGTAGGGAGCTCTCAAACATGCATGGTAACTAAACAGATCAAAGAATATTTGTGAGCTAAAAGTATTGCAAGAAAGAGTAGGAACAAGAATAGAAACATCATGTCTATAAAAAAATAAATAAAAGAATGTAGTTAGGAAGGGATATTTCAAAGTACTGACTCTTTTGCACTTGCCATGTTTAGTTTTGTTAACTGAAGTCTTTAAAGAACTGCGTTACACTCAAATTTGCAAAAAGAAGTTGGTTACCTCTTGTTTCATGCAGAATTCTCTGAGACTTACAATAGAATCAGGAACATCTAAATTTTTGTGAGTAATTATACTATTGCCTTTACTCGAGGCATCTGGTATCTTCTCCCTGCACATAATTAATTTTCTGTAACTTTGGATTTATTCAAGAAATCTCTTTTAGGTTGATCAAATTAATAATGATAAAAACATAGAGGTATAGTAATTGTTAAATATATAAACTCTAAAGTTCATTCATGTCTCAAACACATTTATCTCCCATAATCAGAAATTGGTATTTTGATTCCAGAGAACCTCGGACACTTGATATAGCATTAATCTAACATCATTAATAGGGCAAGATCAAAAGTAGATAAGGCAGCTGTTTTTCAATCTTCTAACTCATGGCAATAAAATTTGGCTGAAAACTAAAACAAAATTTGTGACAGTACTATAATTAATAATTTGTAAAAACCTGATTTATTTAATTTATTACGTTTGTTTGCTGCCCATTTTACCACAAGGTGACTTTTATACAAATAACCCCCAATGTTTTAACTTATCACTTCCCATCCTAAAAATGTGAAAGAATAAAGATTCCTTCCCTCTCCCATGTTGATGTGATTGTGCTCCTACCAAAACCTTTGCCGCCCTTAGATGCTGCAAGAAATGTTGAAGATCTGTCCATTCTCCATTCATTATACAGCACTTTTTATTATCTATTTTCTAAACTTTGGCTAATCCAGTTCATTATCTATAGATTTCCTAAAAAAGGGGGGGGGTGTTATCTGGATTCTAGAGAAGTAGAAATGGTACTAAAGAGTAGTAAAAAGGGTACTAATAGTTCATTTCCATACTTCATAGGAAGAGTAGACCCTATCATCTGGAAAATGTTCTAGCAAATTGAATAATACTGTTCTTTAAAATGGAAGCCTTTCACTATAGTCCTTATCTCAATATTGTCTATAAAGATATAATATAAAAAGTTACATTAAAACTTCCTTCTAATCAATAAATTATACAGAGAAATATAGTTTTGCACATAATTTATACCTTCATGACATATTATATCCTGATAAACAGGAAATCTAGGTTACCTAGAGCTAAAGCAAATACCCAAGTACTGTATATTTTGTTTTGGGTAGCAAGTTCATTTCATGTAGAAAATAATGCTATTTGTCTGGACTTCCTAACAATTATAATTAATATCATTCTGTTTCTTCTGTATTCTGTTATTAATTGCATTTATTTATACTTATTATCTGTTAATATCTTTTTATAATAACAATAACTTATTGTTGTTATTCCTGGAAATTGTATTGTAGATAAGTAAGATCAGTGTTAGTTTTGGAAAAACAATTTGAGAAATATGTAGTTCTTTATTCCTCTTGTTTTGCTTTTATAATTAAGCTTCTGTTATTCATTTGCTTTAAATACAGCTTTATCAAATTCAATACGTGCCTGTTTCAAATGAATATACTAGTGTACATTGTTGTTAACCCTTGTTTAATTAAGATTCATTATCTTGAAAATTAGAAAAGGTAATCCTTTATTTTCTTGATTGTAACTACATGACCAAAGAATTCTACAATACATTTTGCACCAAATACA